AGTCGAGGACTAAACCGGTCGTAAGTCGAGGACTACCCAACCGGTCGTAAGTCGAGGACTTTCCCTGCCCGGGAGCGCCGCACATGCGTGGTTCCGCCCCCTGCGCCGGCCGAGGCGTAGCTGGCAAGCGGCAGAGACGGAGCAGGCCGACCACCAGCTGGCCCAGCCCAAGGGAGGTAAGGCACCCGCCAGAAAAGGGGGAAAAATGGCGGAGAGCCTTGCTTGGCGACCCCCGTGAAATGCTCGATCGACCCCAAATGGGGTCGCAACCCATAGGTTGAGAACCGCTGGTCTATGTTCACCTTTTCTGGAGCATTCTGAATGCAGGATGCATTCAGTGACAAAGACCTCCTAGTGCACGGGTGTCAAACTCGCCACATCATGTGACGTGTCGCGACGTATCGTAACTCTTTTTGCATTGCCGGCAATGGGAGGGCGCGGCTTCGGTATGATGAAACCGGCCCACGGACCGGCAGTTTGACACCCCTACCTTAGTGCCTTTGGTACAGAAATACATAGTCTCCCAACCTCTGACACAAATGCATTATTCCCCCCACTCTAATATGCAACAGAGTTATTTCGGCCTTGTTAAAAAAGAGGGGATAGCAACATCTCAATGTACAGCAATCAGAATTCGCATCTATGAGGAAAAGTCTGATCACTTGGTGGTGTCTTATCCAGGGACTAATCACACCAACCTAATGAGAAGGAAGGACTCACTGGAGAAGAGCCTAATGCTGGGAAAGATTGAGGGCAATAGAAGAAGAGGACGACAGAGAATGAGGTGGCTGGATGGAGTCACTGAAGCAGTAGGCGTGAGCTTAAATGGACTCCAGAAGATGATGGAGGACAGGAAGGCCTGGAGGAACCTTGTCCATGGGGTCGTGATGGGTCGGACACGACTTCGCAACTACCAACAATCACACCAATCCCACTTAACTTTCACCTGCAGGCTAGTGCTATTGCTGGATGAAGCAAGACTATTTATTTTTAGATCTCCTTCAATGTTGTGCTCTCACGCACGCTACCCATGCACCACAGCGAAGCTACTGGATCTGCTGCTGGGACTCGCCAGCTGCTAAAGTGGTTTGATTTGTAGCTAAGGTTCATGCCAACTTTTCATAGCACATTTTCACACAATTGCAGACTAGTAACTCGACCAGTCCAGTCCCTTACAGGTAGTCTTCAGCTTAACAACTGTAAGGGAGCCCGCTCTTTATGGCTGTAAGTCATAACGGTTGTAAAGCAAGCCATTATGTGACCAACCCAATTTTCTGCAGCAGTCATTAAGTGAATCACCATGATGCTTTAGTGAATCTGCAGTCATTAAGCAAGCACTGTGGCTGTTTGAGCAAACCATTGTCTGCTATGGGGCATTTTTGCCATAAACCAAAAGTAAATGCTGATTTTCAGGAAAAAACATCATAAATTGCAGTCATGTGACCACAGACTGCTAAAAACAACCCTAAATGCGGGCTGGTTGTTGAGCACCTGAAATGTGGCCTGGGGACCTGGCTTATTTGACTGTTGTCATCAGGAGGATGGAGGGGGGTGGTTATTGCTTTTTTTTAATATTGGGTTTTTATCCTTATAAGCTGCCTGAAGTCACTGAGATAGAGCTGGGCAGCCATATAACTTTTCATAAATAAATAAATAAATAAAATGCCCGATGTAATTACTGCTCACCTTCTGATCCAAACTTTCAGGCGTTAAGAAGAAGTGATGTAGAGGAACAAAATAATCTTCAAGGAGGCCCATCAGTAGCACCAAGTAGACGCCATCTGCAAACTGAGAAGAAGGGCCAGATAGGAAGATGAGAATCAAGGGGCAGCATTAATCTCACTGGGCTGAAGATCTTCCAGCCAACATGGCCACCACGCCATCGGGGACATTTTGGGCAGGCCGAATCTGAGCAGAATAGTCAACAGTTTCGGGTATTAATTTGCAGCTAACGAGGGAAATGTCTAGAAGAATCCCCAAAATATTCCCAGGTGACCCAGGAATTGATCAATTCCCATTCAGATTTCAGCTGGCCTCCAACTATGGGATAAAAAGCCTCCCAATCTTGCCTTTGAGCTGACAGATACTGAAGAGTGCAATGGCACCTGCGTAGAACACAGGTTAGAAGTAATAGGTTAGAGGTCTTCTAGTCCCGGGGTGGCGAACCTATGGCACACGTGCCACAGGTGGCACACAGAGCCCTCTCTGTGGGCACACACACCATCGCCCCGGTCCTAGGCCTTCAGCTGGGTTTTATAAAACCTTTTTGCTTTAGGCCTCCGCCGCCGTGTGCAAAAAAAATAAAGAAGGTTCAATCAATCAATCAATTTCAACTTCTCGCATGAAAAAAAAGATCTCGCAAAGTTGGAATTGATTGATTGACCTTTTTAGTCCCACTCAGTCTGCCATTACCACCGAAGCCACGCCCACCCAATGGGCCACACCCACCCAATGGGCCACGCCCACCCGGCACCCGACAATACATAAGTGAGTTTTGGGTTGCAGTTTGGGCACTCGGTCTCTAAAAGGTTTGCCATCACTGTTCTAGTCCAATCCCCTGCTCAAGCAAATGGCTGTCCAAATGGAAAAAAACTCTCCTGAAAATCTCCCATCCATATTTGGGAACACAAGCAACAAAATAAGCTGGTTACCAAGATAGTTCTAAATGACCATCAGTTCATCAGCAGCTTTTATTACTGGCCCAAATAGCTACAGTATAAATATCCAATATTGTTCCCAGATCTCTTACCTGGCTTTCTAATTCCGACACCTCCAAATTCAGCTTGTTTAAGTGCTTGTTTACAAAAGTGATCAAGGACTGAAAAGTGGGGAAGAACACAGTGATTAGAGAAATAAATATCGAACCAATATTCATTTTTAATAATAATAATAATAATAATAATAATAATAATAATAATAATAATAATAATAATAACGGAGTCTAACTATTTAGAATTCAAAGTAACATTCAAGCCTTCCACTCAATTGTTAGGTCCTGCACAGCAGCATAATCAAGTTCTCAGTTTTAATAAAAGGAACAGAAGCTTTACCTGTGGCACAGTGATACACATAGAAAACCCCAAAATGCTGCTTGCATCACTCTGCCCCTCCCCCTTTCGTACAACTCCTGTAGAGCTGTAACAAAATTTATAATATTTGGAACTTAGGGGAACTGAAACAAGTTTCACATAACTGGCCCAAGAAGTCCAATAATTTTCCACAAGCTTATTCTGATGAACAGATACAGCATTAAGCACAAAGCTATCTAAAGTTAAGTTCAACCCTGGATAATGCTATCGTCAACGCTGCCAACATCGGATGCTTTTGCATTGACCATAGATGGAAATGTAGCCATCTTTTCTCTTTCGCTTTTAGAGTTAGATGATGCTGGGAGGGGGGGATGTGAATGAGAGTCCAGCTAGAAATAACAACACTAAACTTAGCGTGAGAATCAAGGTTATTGAGCCCAGAGCTGATAAAGAATTGGTGGGCTGGAGAGCTGGAGAGGAAGCCAGCGCTTCAAACTAATTGGGGAATGTGATTTATGACTGTTAATTGGAGGATGGAATTGTGCTTTGATACTATGTGCCCAGGGGAGGGGAAATCAGTTTTTGGCTTCGATTATGCAGTGCCGATGTTATGCTACTCAAATAAAAGATCCTTTAAGGTAAACAAAGCCTCAAAGTTCTTTTGAAGAGTTTCATCTGTCGGAACCATGACAGCTATTCTATGAAAATAGCAACCTAAAGGGACGGGATACTGAGTTCTTAGCATTACTCGACTTATAACAACAACTGAGCCATTTGTTAAGTGAGTTTGGTCTCATTTTATGACCTTTTTTGCCACAGTTGTTAAGTGGATCACTGCACTTGGTAAGTTAGTAACCCGGTTGTTAAGTGAATCCCCTTTCCCCACTGACTTTGCTTATCAGAAGGTCGCAGAAGGTGATCACATGACTTTGGGACACAGCAACGGTCATAAATGTGAACCAGTTGCCAAGCATCTGAATTTTGATCACATGCTCATGGGGATGCGGCAAAGGTCATAACTGTGAAAAACAGTCCTAAGTCACATTTTTCAGTGCTGATGTAACTTGGAATGGTCACTAAATGAACTGTTGTAAGTCATAATACCTGTATTATATCCCAAGAGTCTAAATATCTTGTTCTTCATTCATTGCATAAATTGGTCCCTGATGATGCTTTTTCGGTGCACCAAGGGAAGCAAGCATTTGGCAATAAACAAAGTAATGAAGTGGCTCATTAAACACTTTTTTTACCTTTTTTACCACACTTAGTTTATCTGGGGCATGGTCAAAGAGTGTGTCAAAGGCATCTCGTTCTATGTTTAGGAGAGAAAAAGAAATGCTTTATTAAAATGACTGTTAAAATGCTGAGAATTGAATGGAAAGAATTATACATAATGATTTTTATATACAGCACAGCATAAAATGAAAACATGACCAAACGTAATGTATTTATCTAAAAGGAAGATGGTTTTAAATTTAAGATGGTATTGTTTTCTAAAAGAGTAAATAAAAGTAAACACAATCTAAAAGGAAGATGGTTTTAAATTTAAGATGATATTGTTTTCTAAAAGAATAAATGAAAGTAAACACAAGACAAAAATATTATATGCTACCTTGTTTCCCAACCAAATCCCGTGGATTTTTCCTCCTTATAAATGTGTACATCTCTCTGTATGTAAGACTATACTTTTATATGTGTACAATGTGTACAGAGAGATGTGTGGACATAGATGTGTGTCAGAAGCCACAGGCCCACAAAACAGCAGGAAAATAAATATCTACTTGAATTAACAACCACTGGTTAAATTTAGCTGTATGTAAAATGTAACATCCCATTTATGAAAGTAATTCATTCTACAACTGCAAATAGCAGTCTTTCTCTTGCACAATCAAACCATTCTCACACATAAAAGTACAAAACTACACAGATATATACACACCCACACTCTCCAGGAACCCTTATCTTCCTATTGGGTCAACACAGCATCTTAGGTTTGTCAGGATTTGACCAGTAGCAGAACAAAGTTTTAATCCAGTGTTTCTCAACCTTGCCAATTTTAAGATATGTGGACTTCAACTCAAAGAATTCCCCAGCAAAGCATGCTGATTGAGAAGCCCAGAAATTAGAGAAAATGGAAGGATGCAACAGGGAAGACCAACAGGACTTTGTCCACAGCTTGAGCAATGGTCTGGACCAAGGGTCTTCAAACTTGGCCCTTTTATGACTTGTGGACTTCAACTCCCAGAATTCCTCAGCCAGCATCATGGGAGTTGAAGTCCACAAGTCATAAAAGGGCCAAGTTTGAAGACCCTTGGTCTGGACTGAGCAAAAGTACAACCAACCTAGACACAAAATGCTTAACGCAGAGGTGATAATGATAAATATTTCATATCGTTAATCATAATAAATTTGAAGAGTTTTTAAGCCACTATTTAAGCTACAATTTCACTTAGCATCTTGCTCTCAAGGTACTTTTATTTTCCAAGTTTAAAATCTTTTACTTACCAAACCTTCCCATCATCATTCTGGAAACAAGAAGTTTAAAACAAAAAATTAATGACTTTCTAAATGTTCGTAGTTCTTAAGTTTTTTTTTTTCTTGATCTGATGTCTCTAGCCTGAAGAGTTTTTCAAGCTGTCCACACCACAAAAGTTAAATCTCTCAGCACATCATGGAATGACAGTATGAATTTCCAAGGGCTTTCTGTTTTCATTGAGACATCCATTTCTGTCCCCCTCTAATCTCTATGCCTTATGGCAGGAAGTGTTCTGCTTTTCTGCCTGTATGATAAGAGGGCTGTCCTGAATTCCCACTCACAAGTATGGAGATGTTTCTTGCCCCACCATGCCATTTCTTCCTCTGAAGGAGAAGAGTTCAGGATTGGGAATTTCAGAAAGCAGAGTTATCCCAGACAGGTGACAGGAAAGAGCTTTGAAATATCTATATCTATATCTATATCTATATCTATATCTATCTATCTATCTATCTATCTATCTATCATCTATCTATCTATCTATCTATCTATCTATCTATCTATCTATCTATCTATGCCAATAATAAATAAATAAAACGAACACCAGGGTAAAATCATCAAACTATAAGAGTTTAATGCCGCTATACCAACGCCAAGCTTTCGTCAGCGTCCTGCTGACATCATCAGGGCTTAGACAGCCAGTCCATGGGAGAGTCTTTTATAGGTCAAACGTGGCTTGCACATGGCCCCTGGACCTTGTTACCGGTCCTAATTGCATCAGCTGCGCTCCGGCGGTGGTTTTCCCTCCGCTAGTTGTCCCTATCCTGCAAAACTTATCCATACGGCCGCCCCTACCTGGCTCATTTGCTCGCGGGCTGGGGGTAGATGGGACGCTCCCCCTTTTTTCTCTCCTCAATCGTGTCCCCTGCCCCACTTGCCCATGTGGTCCTGCGTTCTTATTTCTCGCATTGGTCGGGCCCACTTGGCTCGGGATACCCGTTCCCTTTCCTGAACCCCCGCTGGCTTTAGCCACCTCGCTGTCATTCCCACGGGCCTCTCCCTCTCTTTTTTCTGCAGTCGCATTTCCCGTGCCCCCTATACCTCCTTGCACACCGCTCCTATCGCTCCTCCATTCGTCCCCTCTGGGCCGGCCAGGCTCGCCTTCCTTCTTCGCCTCCTCTTCCCCTCCATTCTCTTCATCGGCCCTCCTCTCCTCCCCCCCCGTGTCTGTCCCTCCTATTGGTGCCATCCTGTTTGGGTTGTATCCTCGCATGTCCCTGCCTGCCGTTCTTGGTCCGGTCGCTGGCTCCCGGAGAGCCCCCTGCTTTGCACTGGCTCGGGCACAGCGGAGTCGTGGGGTGGGGTGGCCGGGCCGCCGCCGCTGCCGAGGGGCGGCTCGATAGTTTCCTTTTCTCTTCCTTCGTATATAAACCGCTGGGGTGGGGTGGTCGGGATGCCACCGCTGCCGTGGGGCGACCCGGTGGTTCCCCCTTCCCCTCCTTTACGTGCGTGGCCACCTTTGTTATCTATCTATCTATCTATCTATCTATCTATCTATCTATCTATCTATCTATCGTATATCTATATCTAGATAGATTAGATAGATAGATAGATAGATAGATAGATAGATAGATAGATAGATAGATAGATAGATAGATAGATAGATAGATAGATAGATAGATAGATAGATAGATAGATAGATACACATACACACACACACACACACACACACTGGAGAAAGGACACAGCTGAAAAGGAGAATATACCAGAATCTGTTCCTTCTCCAAAAGAGAAGAGCAACAGGGTATGGGAGACAGAAGAAAGAGTCCATGCTGGAATTCATAGCAGGACAAAGGGACAATACTTGTGGGGAAAGCCCTTTCCTGCATACTTATACCGGCCTTTCAGCTTCCATCAACATTGGTTTCAATTGAAGTTCTTCCCTGACTGCTTTGGGAATCAACCTTGGCTATCCAGGAGAGTAGCACCAGGACACCAAGAAAACTCATGACCTCTTCTTTGGATCAACCTGCTGCTCTGGAACCCACAGGAAGACCTGGAACCTCACCATCAGCAAAGAAGCCCTTTATGTGTTTAAACTGCTCCTCTCAGTTTTCCTTTGGCATTAAAGCTGCTTTGCCTATTTACTTAGGGCAGGGGGTCTTCAAACTTGGCCCTTTTATGACTTGTGGACTTCAACTCCCAGAATTCCTCAGCCAGCGTGCCTGGCTGAGGAATGCTGGGAGTTGAAGTCCACAAGTCATAAAAGGGCCAAGTTTGAAGACTCCTGACTTAGGGTAACTTCTAGCAACTTCATCGGGCAATCAGGACACACCACACCAGGGGATTTAAACCCGCATCCCCACATCAGCCTCTGCAGCTTGCAAAATTACTTTGGAGGTAGTGAGGATCATGACCAGCGAGGCCAGACCGCTGAGTGACACACAGACGGGGACTGCAGGAAACAACGCAGGAGAGGAAGTGACCAATGATGGTGACCTGGCTGAGAAGATCACCACAGTCAGCACCTCAAGGGTGCCACCCAGTGGTGGGACTCAGCCGGTTCGCACCCCTTCAGCAGCTAATTTTTTGTTGCCTAGGAGGCCAGGGGTAGGCAACCTTGGCTCTTTTATGACTCGTGGACTTCAACTCCCAGAATTCCTGAGCCAGCATGGCTCAGCATGGAAACCTCTCCCTTTCCCTGTGCTTATCTTACTTCAGCTTTGCTCTGCCTTTTCTCTTTGGAGAAGAGAAATGATATATGTGAAAATAGGTTGCAAAGTTATTTTTTCGTCACCGTCATAACTGCGAATGGTCGCTAGAAGATGCGGTTGCTGAATGAGGACTAAACTGTAATTGCTTTGGTGTATCTGTATTGGTAACCAGTGTTATTGAACATTTGGGGGACTGAGTGGGGTGTCTGCTTTTTAATGCTTACTTAGGCCACTTAGAGTCACTGTTGTGAGATGGGTGGGTAAATGAATTGCCTAAATAAAATTAACAAATATTACAATTATTAAAGAGAGACTCCCAATAAGAGGATAAAGAAAGTGAGGCTTTCTGATCTGATTCCAGAGAATAATTCTATGTGCCAGCCAAAATGAAGCAACTCAACTTTGTGCACACAGCAATAAAAACACAGAGCTTACTCAGTTGTAGTAGTGATCTCCTCGGTCACATGGGCCGTCTGAAGTAACCCTTCTCGCTTCTGGAAGAAAATCAGAGTCAGGACTAGTGAAATGCTAAAAGAACTAACCGAAGAAGTGCATGGGAATGAAACCTTACAAGAAAGTGATTGTGATATTTCTGCTAACTAGAGGAGCAGAATCAGAGAAGGGTCAGTTCTCCTTTTTCTCAAACCAACAGAAATAATAAAAGTGTGAAACCTCTCTGAAGGCAGGAGACAACCTGCCTTTCCTGCCTTTAGCAAAAAGAAAAAAGAAAAAAATCGCACCCGCATCTGGACAAACTTTAAATGAAACAATCACTTAAAATTGAACCAAAAGTGTGCGGCCGCAGCAAAAAAAGCTAACACAGTCCCTGGTTTTATATATACAGAGGCGTAGAATCAAAACCACGTGAAATATTAGTACTGCTTTATAAATCCTTAGTAAGACCACACCTGGAATACTGCATGCAGTTTTGGTCGCCACGTTACAAAAAGGATGTTGAGACTTAGGAAAAAGGGCAAAGGAGGTTTTCCCGCGGACTGGAGGGGACGTGGTTTCGTGTGCGGATGGGGCTTCACTTGTTTGCGCGGCCCGGTTTTTGGCACGCCGCAGCCCAGTGCCGGCCCACAGACCAGGGGGTTGGGGACCCCTGCTCTACTGGATCAAACCCATAGCAATGGGCACTATTGGCATTGTCTAGATTTTAAAAATTGTTTTTTTTTTTAAACAAATCTATTTGAAGTGAGAGTTTATTACATTTTTTTTTCTTTTTACAGTACCACATAGCTTAATTACACATGCATGAAAAGCTTAACATCTTTCTTGGGTACTTACCTTTACAACGACCACTTGCACCGAAACATGTTCAGGGAGCCGAATAGTAGCCCGGAAATGCATAGCCAGAGCTACCAGCAGGTGGAGGATGGACACCAGGTTCTTGCCATGGATCACTGAAGAAAGAAACCAAGAAATCATCAAGGCAAGTTTTGAATGGGTTGGGCTCTCTTTAGGTGGGAGCCTATTTAATTCCACTCCAGGAAAATCTTGATTGTTTATCTATCTATCTATCTATCTATCTATCTATCTATCTATCTATCTATCTATCTATCTATCTATCTACCTACCTACCTACCTACCTACCATCCATCCATCTATCTACCTACATTTTAAGAAAAAGAATAAAAACTAACAAGAACTATTAATTAGAATAAAGAGAGAAGAAAAGGAAAACAAATAAGAACCAGCTAAAAGTGCACAAAAAATTATAAAAGAAACGAGTTCCGATTTTCTTGTACAAGTTGTAAGTGTAAATTAACCTCTTACCTTTATTATTATATTATTGTAATAATGTATAGACATTATTACATTTTTATAATGTCTATTTTTCCCTAAACATCAAAAATGTACATCATACTTTCTTTTTTTTTTCCTGAAGTCAACAAGGGTTTTCCAATCAGCAGGAAATTTAGATAATGTCTTAAAAAGCTGCCAATTGACCATCTCAGCAAGTTCTGTTATTTTCACCATCCATTTGTCCACTGTGGGTAAAGCTGAGTCTTTCCCCCTCTGAGCATATAATCATTTCACTGCAGTTGTCATATCCAAAAGTAAATCCAGAAAAATCTTTAGAAAGCCTCTCTTTCATCGCAACTTGTGGGGTCCTCCCACCCTTGCTGATGCCGTCTAATTGGAAGGAGCTTTATTCTGTTCAAACCCTATGTCAGTGGTGGCGAACCTATGGCACGGGTGCCAGAGGCGGCACTCAGAGCCCTCTCTGTGGGCACGCGCGTCGTCGCCCCAGTCCTAGGCCTTCAGCTGGGTTTTATAAAACCTTTTCGCTTTAGGCCTCCACCACCTTGTGCAAAAAAAAAAAAAAGGTTCAATCAATCAGTCAATTTCAACTTCTCGTGGGGGGGAAAAAAAAGATCTTGCAAAGTTGGAATTGATTGATTGAACTAAAAAGTCCCACCCAGTCTGCCGTTACCACCAAAGCCACCCAATGAGCCACACCCAGCCAATGGGCCACACCCACCTGGCACCTGACGATGCATAAGTGGGTTTTGGGTTGCAGTTTGGGCACTCGGTCTCTAAAAGGTTCGCCATCACTGCCCTGTGTCAAAACCAGAAACCTGCATTTTTTTTCATTTTGGCCCAAATTTGGGAAGGGGAAAGAGATACCTCCTTCTGCCTCTTCCATCCCTCCTTTTGGATCTCCTTTCTCCTGCTGCTCCCTGGCCACAGCCAAGCCCATTTCTTCAAGGCAACCCAACTCCCTACTAGGGTGTCCTTCAAATTTGGCCGTGGGGCGCAACTGCCCAGCCTCTGCCATCTGGGGCTGATGACTACTTCGAACATGAGAAGGAAGCCCAACAGGACCAAAGAAAACAGAAAGGGAAACTAGGATGGCGATCCTTTCTGCAAAACCCTACTGCAGGGTTTCCCAACCTCAGCAGCGTTAAGATGTGTGGACTTCGCTACAAAATTAACAATGTCAACTTCATACAAAGAAAATCTGTATAAAATGTTTTATAGATGGCACCTGCCGCCAGCAAGATTAGCAAAAATGTTTAAAAATAGGTCAGACAGATGTTGGGAATGTAAACATAACATAGGCATGTACTATCACATTTGGTGGCCATGTGGTAAGGCAAAGGCCTATTGGAGAAAGATACATACGTGGTTAGAAAAAATATTGGGTGAACAAGTGGATTTTAAACCTGAACTTTTTTTTACTAGGTATTATGCCTGAAAAGACTAATAAGCAGAAATTATATTTAATCTTACACGTCACCACAGCAGCGAGAATAATTTTTGCACAATACTGGAAGAATGAAGGATTGCCATCAGAAGAAGAAATAATCAGGAAAATATTGGAATGTGCAGAGATGGACAGATTAACTATGAGGTTGAAAGATAAAGAAGATACAGACTATTATCAAATTTGGGATCTATTTTATTGTTGGCTAGAGGAAAGAATGAAGGATTAGGAATTGAACATGTATTAGCATAGCAAACTCCAGACAACTTGTTGATTGGAAAAATTAACATATGTTGATGAAAAAAAAACACCCAATAAAATCTTTATTAAAAAAAGATGTGTGGACTTCAACTCACAGGATGCTGGCTGGGGAATTTGGAGGTGGGGGAGTCGTTGTTTATTAAATTTATTTGCTGCCCATCTTGTTTCGAAGCAAGTTAAAGTTACCAAGGTTGGAAACTCAAAGTTGGAAACTCTACTCTACGGAACTCAGTGGCACTGGCTTCCAGATAAATGCGTAATATTGAGCTGGCAAGAAGTGGGCTCCAGTTGCCTATCCCAAGTGCCTCCCTTAGCCAACTGCTTGGGAATAAAATTGACAGCAAAGGACACAGTGCCAAGATCTCAGCCTTTGTGCCACTGCATAAGACAGCCTGCCTCCATGCTTCCGTGAAAGTTCATGAGTGTCGTGAATCAGTTGGCTTTCCCATTAAATATCACATGAACTCCAAGAACCAGATGGTCCAAGGTCAGTGTCCTTTCTTCTAGAGAATTTGCAGTAGGACAAGGCAGTAACGCCCCTTCCCACTCTTTCGCCAAAGCAGGTACTATTCTGAGATACAGACGGTCAGAGGTTTCCAGTAGCTGCAATGGCATAAAGCCAAGTTGTATCAGATCAGTGGCAGAAGCATGCTAATATTTATTTTTGCTACTGTGGGCATAAGGGGAGCTCTGCAGATTAGGAAAGCTGGCCAGGTCACATGTGATGAGATGTTCTAAACATTTGCATTTTCTCAGGTTATTTTTCATATGCCTCTTAAAAGACCTGGATGAATTTAAAACAACAAAGCACTCAGATCTATTCCTCATTCTCATTCCAATGCAGTAAATCCAGGCTCTCTTTCATGAATAGCCTGGAAAACATTCATAAAGAATGCAGATAGAAAAAGGAGTCCATTTATGCCAGTAAACGGGTCTAAAAACTGTATTACAGGTAAACTTTGACTAATTATAATTGAGCCCAAGAATTATGGTCCTAGGTTGGTCATCATCGACACTTAAAGCAGGTCATCACATGACTGGCCCAATTTTATGACCTTTTCTGCATTGATCATTAAGGGAGTGCCACAATCGTAAAGCTAAAGGTGGAGTTTTTAAGCTAAGTTATTCGCGATGGGGTGTTTTTGCTAGAAACGGGAAGTGTCTTTTTTTCTGCCAAACCGTTTGTAAATCATGGTCACATGACTGTGCCCTATATGTGACCAAGTTGCTGAGCGCCAAAAATGCAGCCAAAGGTGAATGTGACTTGAAGCTTACAGAAGCTTAGGTGTAAGTGGGTGCATGTCAAATTCTGGAAAATGGCAGGTGCAGTGGCACAAAGTCCCACCCCTTTTGTACCTGCAGGCAAAATGGGTGTCGCTTCGATCATGACACTGCACTGCCATTTGGCAGATTTTGCCATTTTTTTCCTCCTCTACGTGTGACATCTGTCAGGAACCCATTAAAGTATTTCTTAGGCTTGAACAGAAACTCTTTGTAGCTGACATGATCCCAAGAAAACACATATTTAATTTTTTTTTAAAGCATGTTTGTAGCTTTTCTGACTAAGGTATGCTGTAAGGCAGCAGTCCCCAACCTGTACGGCTTGGCGGTCCGGCTGGGAAGGGAGAGAGGGGAACTGGACCACACGACCAATGGGACAGCGCACACACGCACGTGCCAGCCTGCCACTTTCACGAATGGAGCGGCGTGCGCATGTGTGTGCTGGTCCGCCTCTCCCGCGGCCTGATTCCGAATAGGCCACAGCCAGTAATGGGCCACAACTCAGAGATTGGGGACCCCTGCTGTAAGGTATAGATGAAATTTGGAATCAAAATTATGACTGCCCCATTTTAATCTAAGTGGCTAAAAAGCCTACTATCCTGGTGAACTCCCTATTTTTTTTACCAGTGACGGGCAGCACGGAGCCATGCTAAAAATATGCAAATACAACAACTTTATCTAATCCAGGGGTGTCAAACTCAATTTCATTGAGGGCCGCATCAGCATTGCGGTTGCCCTTGGGGGGCCAAGTGGGTGTGGCCAGGGTGGGTGCGGCCTACTAGGTGGGTGTGGATGGAGTGGGTGTGGCCTACTGGGAGGGCATGGCCAGCTCTACATTGTTCGCGTCAAGGGTGCCTGTGGGGGCCTGGGCAGGAGTGGGACAGATCTGAGGGTCTCTGGCAGAAGGGGGTGGGACCAGGGCAAGTGCCAAGGCATGGTCCATTTCTTCATTCCTCACAAAGGGTGACACTTCCCCAGCATGCACCCAGGGGGCGGGACCGACACGGCAGGAGCTGGTTCCTCGCTGTTCCCAGGCCGCCTTGTGGAGCTAAGACTGAATGCATTTCAGCATAGATGGTCACCACAAAATTGCACATTGGCTCCTGGCCAGCCTGGGCCAGGGCCAAGGCAGCGGGGGCCGTTCCCTCACTGTTTCCAGGATGGCTTCGCGGGCCACATGAAACCACTTCGCGGGCTGCATCCGTCTGATCTAATCCATATTAATTGTACAACACAGCTTTCATATGCTTTCCTTAACACTGAATGAAATAAAGGTAAGCGATGGATTCCCCCTATTTAAATCTTGAAACACTGAGATATTGCCAGCAATAGTGCTTCAGCTATCTTTGGGGTTATCGTTTACTCCCTGGGACCTCCAGAGTGGAAAACAATCCATTACTAAAGCACAGTAGCTTTCTAAGTATGCTTTTCAAAGCCTGATGCTTACGGTCCACACTCCATTTGATCGTCCAGCCATGGGGTCGAAGTAAATCATAGACAGCCTCCAGTACAGTCTGCAGTTTCTGTTTCTGTCCAATTTCAGACTGTGTCACTTCAGCCACATTTAGTTTACGACCAGCTAGCTTTTCTAGATTGAAAACACAGATAAGCAGAAGAAAGATTATTCAGGGAAGGCAGGGGTCTTTACGAAGGCCTTTGCAACAACTTTGGCCCTACAGGCAGTCCTCATTTATGGACCGCTCGCAGTTATGACGGTGAGGAGAAAGCAACCAAGCAGTCAATCCTCACATTTGCAACCTTCCCAGGGAGGTAAAACCAAAGGAAACCTGAAGTCAAACTGTAACCACAGTCACAAGCACAGTTTATTAGTGACCGTTTCATGAAGCGACAGAGTTCCAGGTCCCAATTGTGGCTGCTAGAGAGGAAAGTTAGGACACCTAGAAACAGATTTGCAAATGTTATTATTTAAGTTTTTGAATTAAAAGCTTCACTTGCTAACACTCTCTCAAGCACTGAGCAGTCTGTATTAGTTTGAGTTATGCAAGTAAGGACACTCACAAGACATGGTACTTTCCATTATGTGATGATTCACAAAGTGAATCTGTAATGACACTACACTAGTCAATTTTGATAACCTGATGATTTGGCCATAGCGGTACAAGAAAAACACTTGGAGGTGTCCAAAGATTTTAAAGTCTTGGGGAAATTATTCACTGACTGGAGGCTGACTCCTAGCACCAACAAAACATAACTACGTGCTTCCACTTTAACAACAAACTAGCACAGCGGTTCTCAACCTATGGGTCGCAACCCCATTTGGGGTCGATCGACCATTTCACGGGGGTCGCCAAGCAAGGCTGTCCGCCATTTTTTTCCCCTTTTCCGGCGGGTGCCTTATCTCCCTTGGGCTGGGGCCAGCTGGTGGTCGGCCTGCTCCATCTCTGCTGCTTGCCAGCTACGCCTCGGCCGGCGCAGGGGGTGGAACCATGCATGCGCGGCGCTCCTGGGCAGGGAAAGTCCTCGACTTACGACCGGTTGGGTAGTCCTCGACTTACGACCGGTTTAGTCCTCAACTTACAATCGGTTTAGTCCTTGACTTACAACCGGTTTAGTCCTCGACCTACGACCGGTTGGGGGTCGCGGCATTAAAAAGATTGAGAACCACTGAACTAGCATATGAAGCCCCAAAAGATTACTTTAAAAAATAACATACTGTACTCCCCTATAACCCCCATATAAAGATTGTTGGTGTAATAGTGCACTGGACTCCTATAAGATAACCCAGGAAATACAGCAGCAAAAATCAACACTAGGAACAACATACTCCAGAAATTATGTGGAACTAAATGGGCTGCTTCAGCTGCCACCTTCAGGTCACCAGCCTTAGGGTTGATCTACTCCACAGCAGAATAATGTGCCCCTGCACGGCTTAACAGCAGCTGCCATACTGATAAGTTAGATGCCAGACTCAGTGACATCATGAGGATTAAAACCACTTCAATTTACTGGCTTCCTATTCTGAGCTATATATCACCGCCAGTTTTACGAAGGCAAGATGCACTAGTGAAAGAATACAGAAAAATTAGGAACAAGTCACTCCTGTCGGTGCATGCCAACCTTTCTCATTTGTCAACTGGAAGACTCAAATCCAGGAATCCCCCACTTGCACAACATCTGCCCAACAACTTTAACATTGATTCCCAATGGAAAACAAATGGGTTGCTGAATGCCCAGATACAGGAAGACATATAAGTGACCCCACACAAAGGCGCCAGGCTTTGAACTACCATGTCAGCAATGGACAATCCTGAATAGGATTCGCACTTCGCACGGCATCTGCTGGGACTCTGTATAAATGGGGCATAGTATCCTCTCCCAGTGTGATTGCGGGGTCCCACGTCAAACTGTAGATCACATTGTGACTGATTGTAAGCTGAGGGCATATACCGGTCCAGTATCTGATTGATAAACGATGCTGCGCTTCAATGGTCAAATGGCCTAGACCAGGGGTAGGCAACCTTGGCTCTTTTATGACTCGTGGACTTCAACGAAGTCCAAGAGTCATAAAAGAGCCAAGGTTGCCTATCCCTGGCCTAGACATTGGTATTTGAACATAGATCTTTTAAACCAGCGGTTCTCAACCTATGGGTCGTGACCCCATTTGGGGTCGATCGACCATTTCACGGGGGTCGCCAAGCAAGGCTGTCCGCCATTTTTTTTCCCTTTTCCAGCAGGTGCCTTACCTCCCTTGGGCTGGGCCAGCTGGTGGTCGGCCTGCTCCGTCTCTGCCGCTTGCCAGCTACGCCTCGGCCGGCACAGGGGGTGGAACCACGCATGCGCGATGCTCCCGGGCAGGAAAAGTCCTCAACTTACGACCGATTGGGTAGTCCTCGACTTACGATCAGTTTAGTCCTCGATTTACGACCGGTTTAGTCCTCTACTTATGACCGGTTGGGGGTCGCGGCATTAAAAAGGTTGAGAACCACTGTTTTAAACATTTATATTGTGTTTTACTAATCTAGGTGAAATGTTAATATATATTGCTACTCCATATATGATATGCCATACGCTAAATAAGTAAATAAACTACAATTCTCCTCCAACAAGATTTAGCCAATGCCAACTTGGTTCTCTTCTCTCTCTTTGCACACCTTCTGCCACCTTTACACTCGAATGCCATCACCCCATCCAGTTCACACGGGAACCATCTCGTTTCAAGAACCACGTTGTGCTTTTATCTTCCTACATAGCTTCATTCTTGAGAATATTCCACACGTTACAAAAGCTGAAATCTTTCCAGAACAAAGTCTCTCGACTTTATGGTTTGCTTTAAGTGGACGTTTGTGCTGATTATCACATAAATATGTTCTATAAGATATACTTATAGGAAAGTAAAATAACCAGTCCCTGAGCTAATATGGTTAGTCATTCATTGATGTGGTCTCTTTGCCTTAAAAAGAGCTAACAAGTGACTAAGTTTGTTTGCCAAGTCCCTGCTCTTCCTTCAAGGATCTCAGCATAGGATCACTTTCAAGTCTAGTGAAGAAGCTTGGATTCGACATGATCATTGCCAAAGGCCATTTCATACAGGAACATAAATATGTCAAAATTTAAGCCTAAATTTGCTTAATCCAGGCCAACTCCTTATCCACCATTTTCACACATAATACCTCACCTAGCAATTTCTGTAGCACTTGCCCATCATAGACGTCTTCTTCAAGCTGTTTGACAATTATCCTTTCTTCAACCAGGACGTCATTTATCCAGTCAATCAAGACCTGGACAATGATGAAAGAGGGAAAACAATTATTCAAGTCATCTAAATAACACTGTGAGGAAAGCAACTGAATATAGATAGCCTTCAACTTACAACAGTTCATTTAATGACTGTTCAGTTACAACGGCATTGAAAAAAAAGTGATTTATGACCATTTTTCAGACTTACAACCTTTGTAGCATCCCCATGAACACGTGATCAAAATTCAGATGCTTGGCAACTGACTCATATTTATGACCGTTGCTGTGTCCCAAGTTCATGGGATCCTTTTTTGTGACTTTCTGACAAGCCAAGTCAATCGGGAAGCCAGATTCACTTAACAACCGGGTTACTAACTTAACAACTGTAGTGATTCACTTAACAATTGTGGCAAGAAAGGTCGTAAAATGGGGCAAAGCTCACTTAACAAATGTCTCACTTAACAACAGAAATGTTAGGCTCAATTGTGGTTGTAAGCCAAGGACTACCTGGATTGTTTTTAATAGCCACAAAACTATTTAGAAATTTGATGTGTATATTATTTTGTATATACAGGACGTATATACGTTTGTATATACAAACTTTTTACTGTTTGTCTCATAAAGTCAAACTAATTAATCTAGACTGATAAATTACATAATACTGATATAATAAAATTTTAAAAGGTTTTGTGCACTTTAAGAATGGTAACAATGGGAAAAATTATGGACTAAATCTGTACCATTTATGCCAAGTTACAATTTAGTAGAAAATTTCAAAAATGTTCTACAAATTCATCAATAATAATATCTAGAGAGACAACCATACAGTAATTGCTGGAAATGTCATAAACAAAAGCAGGATTTTATCATATGTGGTAGAGGTGTAAAGTACTGGAAAGTTATACATATTACAATGAAAAAATGGACTTTATATTTGAAATGAAACTGCATTTTTATCATATATAAATTCTAAGAAAAAAACATCCTGAAATATTGTAACTTATTGAGATATCTCCTCATATGCTTCATGTTCCTCTCCCCCTTTCCCGCATCTTTTTATTTATTACTATTATTTTTTCTTTATTATTTTAATGTGTAGTACTTTGAATGTTTGTAAGCCATCCACAGTCATCTTTGGAGAAGACGGGTGGCACATAAATTTAATAAATAAATAAGTAAAATGACAATTATTGAGGGTGAAGGTTCATTCTCCGAGCTGGTGGGTTGGTTTCTGAACGTTTCGTTACCAGGCTAGGTAACTGTTCTGTCCCAGCCTATGTGAGTCCTTGTTAACTCACAAGGACAAACCCCTCTTTTAACAAGTAGGCTGGAAATGCAGGAAAAACCAACCCCTTTTATTATTATTTACAGACCTGCAAAATGTCCTAAAAGCAAAGGCAAACAAAACACGATGCAAACGGGGAATTGTCCAAAGGCAAACAGAACACAATTCAAACAGAGAATTGTTCACAGGCAAGGCAAACAAAACATGATTCCATGAAACTTGAGTCCTTTGCAAATGGTTGCCTTCAGCAATCAGCACTGCCCACACCTTCCCTTTTTATTATGCAGCCCCAAGGCGTGGCTTCTCAATGCCTTCTCCTCCTCCTCCTCCCTTGGAGTCGCCCCATTGCCTCCCTCTGTCCTGCTCTTGTTGCCTGTCTGCGTTTGCCAGCGTCTATGATGTCTTCCAGCTGTGAGTCCTCAGAGTCTGACTCAGCCTGAGCATGAGTGGAGGGGCCAGGCTCTTCATCAGATTGTACGTTCTGGAGCTCATTAGAGCCTTCCTCCAACTCTGATAGCTCTCCAGGCCTCTCCTCCTCCTCCTCTGATTCCCCCGACTCTGCTGCCTGGTCCACTGGCTGGCACGGAATCACAACAGTAACATCTTCAGTGGAGTTTAGGGAATATCAGTGTCAGTGTCCTTCTGTTTATAAGGGCTTGAGGTGTGGGTGTGTCAAGTGAGGGTCTTGTGATGGGTCAGTTGACAATTATTTGAGTGATGCTTCTGCATAAAAGGAATTCTATCAAGAAATGAACAAAACAATCTAAAGGTGGACAGAACGCTGATGTGCTTAAGTAGGGGTGCCCAGGTGGTGTGTGTTTTGCAAGGGGGTGGGTGCAGCTTCACAACTAAAGCTCTGCCTCTTGGTACAAAAAAAATGAGGCTTCAAATAGGATTTCACATCCACAATCTTGCAGATTTTGATCACATCCTGTGGACACCGTGGTTGTTAAACCTTCAATCCATTTTCCTGGACTGACTAGCAAAACACATTGTTGTCATCCCGGGAAGATGGCTATCATTTTTTACAGCATTTTTCATCCAAACATCTATCTACTTGATATGTCCATTATTTCCCCACTCAGCATTCTGTATGCATAAGATTTTCTTGCTGGGCTGCCCCCCAGCCAAGTGAGATTTCCTCTGCAATACACCAACTTACAACTTGCTCTGTATATCAACAGAGAAGAAAGTACAACATTTCCAACATTGGCACAATAAACATAATGTAGTTTGCCTTCTACCACAATTCAATTTCCTAAACCTCTCCACAAATAAATACAGGAGAAGATCTACCACATCTCATCTCATCCCAATATTAAGAGAAGGATGGAGAAATAATAAAGGTGGCATTTCTGAAAATACTAACATGCCAAATCAGATAATATTTTTAACTTACGTTTTTGAATCAAGGATTTCTTGCCTGTCAGTTTTTTAGTCCTATTGTTCATTCTTTAAAGCACTGTCATGATTTTTCATTTTTCTTTTTAATGTATCGTACTAAGCTTCCTTCTTAGATAAAAATGTGGACAAGAAATACAGTGGATTTACTGCCTAAAATTTATTACTTTATAGTGGCTTCTCCTGTGATAGTTTCTCCAAATGTATTTTCTAGGGAGACATTTTCTAGCAGTCATTTTTCTGTGCTACCAGCTACCAGAAATGCAAAACCAAAACACTTTCATTTTAAGGTAAACTACATCAAAGAAAGGCAAACTTCTGCGTTGAAGCATTCCTCACCTTGATAAGTTCTTTAAACTTGGCATCCTCCTTTGAAGTGGGATCTATCATGGTACGTTCTTCATTTTCCTCTGGCAATTTCAAAGAGAAGCTCTTCATTAAAGCCACCGTGGCACAAACACAAGCACATTGTTTCAGAAATTGCTATTAAAAGACATCAGCTGCCATCTGATTTATAAATGGCAAAAACTAGTTATCTCATCAACCTGAAAAGGAATCCAATTATCTTAATTGGGTATGGATAGTCTAGAGAAAAGAAGGACATGGGGTGACATGATTGCAGTATTCCAGTATTTGAGAGGCTGCCACAAAGAAGAGGGGGGTCAACCTATTCTCCAAAACATCTGAAGGTAGGACAAGAAACAATGGATGGAAACCAATCAAGGAGAGAAGCAACCTGGAATTAAGGAGAAACTTCCTAACAGAACAACAGAACAATTTATCAGTGAAACAGCTTCCTCTTCAGAAGTTGTAGGTACTTCATCACTGGAGGTTTTTTAAGAAAAGACTGGATAGCCACCTGTCTGAAATGGTATAGGGCAGAGGTGTCAAACTCAATTTAATTGAGGGCCGCATCAGCACTGCGGTTGCCCTCGGGGGGGCTGGGTGGGTGCGGCCAGGGTGGGTGCGGCCTACTGGTTGGGCGTGGATGGAGTGGGTGTGGCCTACTGGGTGGGCATGGCCAGCTCTACATCGTTCACGTCAAGGGTGCCTGTGGGGGCCTGGGCAGGAGTGGGACAGATCTGAGGGTCTCTGGCAGAAGGGGGGGGACCGGGGCAAGCGCCAAGGCATGGTCCATTCCTTCATTCCTCACAAAGGGTGATGCCTCCCCAGCATGCACCCAGGGGGCGGGGCCGACGCAGCAGGGGCTGGTTCCTCACTGTTTCTGGATGGCCTTGTGGAGCTAAGACTGAATGCGTTTCAGCATAGATGGCCACCACAAAATTGTACATTGGCTCCCGGCCGGCCTGGGCCAGGGCAGCGGGGGCCGTTCCCTCACTGTTTCCAGGATGGCTTCGCGGGCCACATGAAACCACTTCGCGGGCCGCATCCGGCCGTCGGGCCTTGTGTTTGAAATGTCTGGTATAAGGTCTCCTCCAGCTCTACTCTAATTGATTGATTGATTGAAAAAGGCACTGCATGAAGGGTTACATTGTGTTGGTGAACAGGACATGTTGGTGAACTGGGCTTTCAGATCATGTGATATGTAACCCTGGGTTGCCTGCAGAAGACTTGACCCTTGTAGCTCTCAAACAGGAGTTTTCCAAAGGCAACGGAGGAAGGAAGCAAAGAGAGAATAATAATTCATCCTCTTTCTCCAGTCATACTTCTATAATAGATACTAGCTTGCATTTTTACTCAGGATTAATTACTGGATTAGACTCGTATCAGGGTATGGCTCAGAAAGTACTTAATCTAAATCCAAAGAAAGTTGTACAAAACTCACACATTTTGAAAATAATTTCAACTTTGGCTAGCTCTAATTTAGATGATCTTTGTTCCAGATCTGGGTAAGGTCAGCAATAACAAAAATAATTTTGGATTGAGTGTGTGGGGGGAACACGTATATGAATACATCAGTTCTTCTATTAATGAATTGTTAGTTTTACTTCAGAAATCTCATGTTGTTTAATAAAATTTCAGCTAGAGAGAGGATCCTGGAGCATCATATCATCGGTCCTTTCCAATCAGCCACACAGAAAACAAAACTCTTTTCTTCACATCATAAGTCTGTGATGTTGCATTCATACGTACCTAGTAATGTATCTTCTGGATGAAGATCAGTTGTAGCAGGGGACATCGGTGCATTGATAGCATTTTTGCCTTCTTCTTGCAGATCAGACACTGAAAGAATGGAGAGGCCCAAAATATTTCATAATGGTATATAGCTTAAAATTTGATTCCCTTCTACCAGGAGCCAAACGCTTTATAGATTGTATTTTTCTTTGCTTGGATTGAATGGGCTGACTAAACACCCCCACCTTTTAGGGTAGCTGTACTCCATAACTATTCCACAATCTGCCATTTTTGAAGAGTCTTTTCCATTTTTATTTTACCTCCTTTCATTCTTCCTCAAGTGACTGTAACTAATTCAGATAATATATTGGAGAGGTAAATCAAACGTAAATCATTATGCGCTCATCTGTTGGAGAGAACTCAACATTTCTAGAATAGAACAGAATTCTTTATTGGCCAAGTGTGATTGGACACACAAGGAATTTGTCTCCGGTACATAAGCTCTCAACATACATACAAATAACAAGTGATCAATCATGGTCATAATCATAAAATACAATCATCATAAATCATCAGATACAACACTCAGTGATAGTCATAGGATACTAAACAATCATACTACTTCCAAGTCACATAAAATTCTTAGTATCTTTATAACTATGAAACAAGAGCAAAATTTAAACTACAAACTAAGCATGTAAGTGAGCAGCATATGAAAGGGGTAGGTATATTAAGCAGTCTGCTTTATTCCTCCAAGTTGTTAAAACAATATTTGTTTTTTTCATGTATCTTCCTGTTTTTACTGAAACACAACGGAAGAACTAAGAAGAAATTTCCTGACAGTTAGAACAATTAATCAGTGGAACAACTTGCCTCCAGAGGTTGTGTGTGCTCCGATACTGGAAGTTTTTAAGAAGAGATTGAACAATCATTTGTCTGAATAGGTATAGGGTTTCCTGCCTGAGCAGGGGCTGGATTAGAAGACCTCCAAGGTCTATTCTACTCTACTCTACTCTACTCTACTCTACTCTACTCTACTCTACTCTACTCTTTCCTATTCTATTCTGAATAAGCCACAGCATAGTCTTTTATTTTGCTACTCAAACAATTTTAAGAGCAAAAGACTATTAACAATATAAAAGTCTCAAATGCTAAATGATTGAGAATTGTAATTAGTAAAACAGAAGTGGAGCAGCCATGCTGTAAACGCCAAAGAAATTAGTATCCAATGATTGAACAGCAGGTTTTCTAATGACTCTTCAAAACGTGAGCCAGTTTCAAACTGGGAGCTGGATATGAAGCATTTCTGGATTCTTCAAGAATAAGACAGAGACCAATGGAGTCAATCCTGTTGGTTGCATCGGCTTTTCAACTTACTTACTTAGCCTTAAAACAGATGCCAGATTAAATAAAAACCAGAGGCCTTGAATAAAATGGACCTTTTTGTCTTTTGCTAAAGCAGCAACTATTGCGTTCCGGACAATAAAACTGCACTGAAGGAGGCCAACTCTCAAAAACTGAAAACACCAGAACAAAGGTGGACTGTTTTCCATCCTGCTTGGATCCTTTTGACTCCAGCCCTGCCACCTCCAGGCTATCCTCAGCTCTTTTCTTCAGAAAGAGTCACTTCTCCGCATCATTGCCTTTGCTCTCTGGCTGGATTCTGCATCATAGGCATCCTTTGGCCACAATGTATGTAAAAAAAGAGGTGAAACTTAAATCACACAGTGGCAGTGCCTTCTTGATTTTTTTTAATTCCCTACCTCAACCCAGGTACCCCTGTTTTATCTTCCCAATTTTACTGTAAAGTACTTACCAAAGATTTCCTTTCCAACCAATTATGGTTACGTAGGCTTAATTCGTTCTGTAGACACCTTCTCCAGCCTAGCACCACCCTTCAAATAAGCTAGGCTAGAGTTTCTCAGCCTTGACAACTTTAACAGGTGTGGACTTCAACTCCCAGAGTTCTCTGGGCTGGGGAATTCTAGGAATTGAAGTCCACACCTCTTAAAGTTGCCCAGGTTGAGAAATATTGATTTAGACCAGGGGTAGTCAATCTTGGCTCTTTTATGACTCGTGGACTTCAACTCCCAGAATTCCTGAGCCAGCTAAGCTAAGCTGGCTCAGGAATTCTGGGAGTTGACGTCCACGAGTCATAAAAGAGCCAAAGTTGACTACCCCTGATTTAGACTGTAATATCACACCCTGCACAGCCACTAGCCACGTGAGAGGGGGATAATAGGAACTGTGGTCCAAGACAATTGAATGACCTGATATTACAAAAAAAAAAAAACCTCAGTTGCCATTAATGCTTTTTGCAGGTAAAAAACAGTGATAAGATTTTCTGCACTTTCTTGGAATCCAAATTGCATAGCTCCAGTTACAACTTAAAAACAGCTGACCCTAATCCATACTGAGGTACTATAACAGTGCATCCTTATATCCCTTCAAATGATGACCAACATCTCTTATGAATGATCCATTTTCAGCCAACTGTTGTCTCTGCATGAGGTAAACAGCAGCACCCAGGATTTCCCAATGCAGTCTCCATGCTCGGAAGCCGAATCAAGAATGTGGAACTAAAAATAAATCACAACACAACTATCCTCTTCTTGTTACTGTCCTAGAGTGAGCTGGGAGAGGTGGGGGAGGCAGAGAAACGCAAGTATGCTTTCTCCTCACAAGCCAGTTACACATCTGCCTAGCATGGCAAAGACCAGGCCTTATGCTAGCAGAGAAAGGCCCAGGTATCTTCAAGATCTCCCTCGTGCAGCTAACCCACACAGAAGCAGGCATTCACTCGTATCTTTTCCTATCTCCTGTTTGCTTGCTTTTTTTACAAAGCCGAGGTGCCATACTAGCATCCGGTAGCATTAAGGTTGCCTTCTTCCGAAAGGCAGAGTTAATAATAATAATAATAATAATAATAATAATAATAATAATAATAATAATAATAATAATAATAATAATAATAATAATAATA